AGACTTCTACAGTTCCACTGAAGAACAGAGATCGTATCCCCGACCTCATTCGGAGAATTATCCATCAAAGGATATGATCGATGCAAGGAAGGACCACCTAGAAGCTAGTTGTTTCAAAAGATTTTTCACCATTGGCAGCACTAAATTAATAATGCTCCTCGTTGAGTCAGAGATATTGAATATACTGAAGAAGCTATCCGCAATACCAGAAAACGTGAATATGGGGGCATGTTCTTGCTGATTATTCAGCTGCTTTTCTGGCCGAAAAACTGGGACATCTGGGGGTTTAGATGATCCTGGAAGTGACGGAAAGTTCTTGTCATAATTACAAGGTTTAAAACCCGGTGGAATGGGTTTCGGTGCATTTCCGTTACCTCTTGATTTTTCCAAGGTGAGAGGGTGGTCCGTACGAGTGGCCTTACGAGGCTTTTCGGTGGTGTATTTTTTTGCTCGTTTTCTCGTATTGCCCTTAAAGACAAACGGACTACCCTCACCGACCTCTGAGTCAGAGTCTAGATCATCAACTTGCAAAATGGAGAACGTGTTACTGCTTTTTGATGTGGTCTGAGAAGATGAAGCGGTATTCTTCAAGAGTTCTGCTAGTGTTCTCTTGGAGCGAGCTTGCAGAGACCGCTTAAGTTTTTCTCCCTGCTGTTTATACCTCGGGCAGTCAGTCAGGGTATGCAGGCTTTCCTTGCAGTACACGCATTTTGGAGGAGCACCGCAAGGACCTTCTTGATGTTGCTCGCCAAACTGATCGCAGCGTGGTTTGTTCGAGCAGTAGTCCGATGTATGACCAAGTTGTTTACATTTCGAGCAATTCATTACCCGAGGTACAAACAGACGTACAGGCAGCCGAACCTTGCCAATAGCGACGTAATGAGGTAACGCTGAACCCGAGAACGTCACACGAAACGAGTTTGACAAGGAAAAAGTTTTTTTGGAGCCTACTACGGATACTGACTGCATTTGAAGGCAGTCCAATATCTTCACCTTCGGCAGAGCACGGTTTTTAAAGATTCCGAAGGAATCGGGACCCAAGAAATCATCACAAGTCAAACTCGCTTCGGTGACCTCTCCTTCCATTTCTACCTCACTACTGGGTATGTAGACTCGGTATTCCAATGAAAAAAGCTCGCACGCAACAATTTGGTTAGCCTGCTTCCGGTCATCAACGGTAACGCGCAGTTTTATTGGTGTTACCTTGAAAATATCGGTAACGGCCGAAAAATGTGTTATTAGATCCTTAGAGATCCTCGGAATGTTCAAAGGTTTTTGTTTGGGCTAGAAAAAAACAACCCATGGGCCTTTCAAGGCTTCTGGGTAAGCCTTTAGGCGGGGGAGCGCAGAGATTTTCGCGGGCAATGGTGAGGGTGGTGCGATACCTTTTCTTGAGATATGCTCCAGTATTTTTGCTGGAGAGCGAGTCAACTAGAACGTCGAGGGTTTCCATTTCCACAACTTCCTCGAGACTTTCGTGTGAGGCGGAATTAATAGTTTCGTCGTCTGAGATGGAAAGCGAAAATTGTTTTTTAATATGTTTGTAAAATATGTAACACATACTTTATAAAAACTATATACGATATCAACGGAAATACCCTAAGCTACAATATGGAAACAATGTTTCTAATATGGAAAAAGCGTAGTGAGTAAATTTAATCTTGACATTATACTATCAAAGTTACCCGCATTATCAAAGATACCCTGGTTTACGGTATCTCAAAACATAGGATCTCAGTAACGACATCTCTTGGGTTTCTCCCGGAAAACAAGCTTGCTCGTTAACTCGCAAAAAATATTGCATAAAAGTTCTATAGAATGTATAGAACGTCAAAGTGATCCGATGCCAGCACAATTTTGATCGTAATTTTTTGTGATAAAAGGAGCTCGGTGAGTGACACCGGTGGTGTAGTGGTAAATGTAGTTACCTCTCACCCCAGCAGGCTTGGTTTCAATCCCAATCGGTGCCGCCAGGATGCTCTGAGGCATAACATCTTTGATCACGCCTTCCTGCGGAAGGGAAGTAAAGCTGTTGGTCCCCGGTTCATGAGTTGATGGGTCGATAGGTAGGGTCCAGGTGTGGGAGCTGCCTCCCTGGCGTCGGTAGCATTGGTGCTCAGCACGGAAAACAAGGACTACGGAAAACAAATCAAGGGAAAAAGGAGCTCGGTGACCTAATGATGACCGATTTTACTTACTGAGCAGAAGACCGTGGGTTCAAACCCAAGCTCCTCCGCACTATTGAATTGCTAAGACATGAATTCAGCATATTGCTGTAATCCCAACCCTTTTATCCAACATACCTTGAAGATTCAAGTGAGAGGTCAAAGCGTAGGAGAACTTCAGAACTCAGAGCAACAGCTTCGGTTAACGAATTGACATTTTCTGCTCAAACGGGTCAGCGAGCTGTTAGAAATACAGCTGCTACAAATGTAATAAAATCAGTAGTAGCATTCCCCTCGACAGCTGCGAAACTTAATCGAGTTATCCTTAACCCCCATCCAAAATATTCTTGTCAACATACGCCTGAAGAAGCTTTAGCTATTTTTGTTGAAGTTGACTTGACGAGAAAGCAATATGAAGTTATTCACATGGCAGATAAATCGATCCTACCCTTGTTATTTGGTTTTGAAACAAGCAAAGTATCACTGTTACACCCAGAGGAAGAAGCCATTACAGTTACCGAAATACTCGTAGAAGTGCATCTTCAAGATCTACTGGATCACACGGCATTACGGCTTAGCAAGTATCTGGGTGAAGTTTTGGAGCAGTTATCGGACGAAGAAAAATGCAGTATGCAGCTGTTGACCAAGTGGGGGTGTGACGGATCTCAGTAGATGCAGTATAAGCAGAAGTTTGACGATGCACAAGCTGATGATACAAATATTTTCCAAAGTTCATTAGTACCAGTTCGACTGATTACTAACGTTGGTGGTGAGACAATGTTGTTTTGGCAGAATCTGGTTCCGTCATCACCAATATATTGCGTCCAATAAGGATTCGTTTTGTTAAAGAAACTAACGATATTATGGTTGAGGAAATTTCGTATATTGAGAAACGAATAGAGAACCTTCAACAAACGGAGATCAAGACAAACAACGATAAATTAGTTAAAGATAGTCAGGTCTTATTTCCTACAATCATGGACGGCAAAGGATGTAACTCTGCTACAAGTACTTCTTCGACAATGAGATGCTACATTTGTGGCAAAACTTCTAAGAGCTTCAACAGTCTTGACAAACTTCAGCCTTCTAATCCAGATAGGCCACAAACGACAAGAAAAAGATTACAAATTCCTACCATTTAACTTAAAATATGTGTGGAAAACTCTCCTGGAATTCTTATCCGAATCCCTTTGAAGTTCTCCTGGAGCTATTCTCAGACTTAATCCTCGATTTAGCATTCGATAAAATTTCCAAGGCATTAAGCTTGGCACTAACTTCCCCCAATGATAAATATCACCCCGGTGATCAATTTCCCCCGGATTACGGTAGTGAAGTTGGATCACATACTTTGAATTCGACAAAAAATCAAAACAATTCCTATGGTGAATGAACTTTCCACGATTAACCATGAAATTGAATCACTACAACGTCACACACCGTCACCATAGTAAATCACCCTCCTTCGGCTCCGAAAAGCCAGCTGTTCCTCGAATCCATTTTCCCACCCATTAATCTCCGTCCAATTTGTATCAGGCGTCTAATCGCCCCAAATTTGTAAACACTTCGCTTTTTTCCCATAGACACGTTCTCATGTGTGTAGGCATTTATCAAAAAACGTACAAAATACAACAACCTCCGTGAGGCCCCGCAGCGAAAAGACAGCGCGACAGCAGCAGCAGCAGCAGCGGGGCATCTTTTGTTTGACGTCGAATTACAAGCCTAGTCGCGATAAAAAAGGAATGTTCACATCCTACCTTCCTTCGTTCGTTCCTTTGCCCACAGGCATGCCTTGTGAAAGTAGGAAGAATTCAGTTCAGAAGAGGGGGAGAAATTTGCCTCGCTACCTTAAGATTGCTGCCAGATGTTGCTGAGTTACATCAACTCGCGCCATTCCAGAAGAAAAATGAAGAAATTCTTACCGCGTTGTCGTTGGCTTTCGCCGCTTCCGTTCCCAAGCTGTGGCTAGAGGTAGTCAATGAATTTCCATCTTAGCAGATGAGGAAAATGTTTCCTCCGAAATGCATCGACAGATGTGATGTCTGAGGAGGCACGACAAATTATGATAATTTATTATGCCGAAGAAACCGGGTAAATTATTGAATATTAAGCCCCTTGTTGGATGAGCCAATGGATAAAGTTTCAAAAGAGTTATTTGGAGTTACACTGCACTGAGAATCCCTCGGGAATAATGCAGCACCTACCGAGCGATTTTTACAGGAAGTTGAAGGCGGAAACGGAAATGGAAATGCGTTAGCACTTGAATGCGGAAAGTGCTGCCCTTTCTATTTTCCCCTGTTGAGGATTTGCCAGCTCGATAAGAACGAACTCCGCTGCGCAGTGCAAATGTTGCTGCTTCAAGTTAGTACCTACCAAAGTAAGTAGTTTCACGCCCCTCGATTTGACCTTTACAGACAAACACTGAAAGCTTTTTCTTTTCCTTCAAGGGAAAGTGAAAAGTTCTTTAGGGCGTTTCTGAATTGCTTCCGGGTGATTTCGCCCACCCGGAGTGGATCCTTTTCTCTTAAAAGGATGCACGAAAATCGGGGAAAAAAATTACTACAGCTGAAAAGCAATGGCTTTCTTCTGACCTCCCCAACATGATTCGATTGTCTGGTAGAGTAAATCTGAAACACAGCAATAAATCAATTTCCTCTCGATTACCCTGCATTTTCCCACCAAACCAATCCCATGTCCGCAGCTTGGAGGATGGTGATGCATTGCAAAATCCATCGTGTTAAATTATACCAACATCCTTCTATTAAGCCTAACCATTTCCCCGATAATTTGCGCAGACCACCACGCGGCAATTAGACTAAATTACAAACTTACCATCTCAAGCTTTCGCCGGGTAATCGATCCCAATCATCGTAATTATCGTGTCTGATGTCTGATTACACCTGCAAGTATGCAACCTGGAAGGAAATGAAGAGAAAGAGAGAAAGAGATGAAAAACACTCGTTAGTCGTTACTTCCTGGCCAGATTTCTAGTTTGATTGAATTAACAACTGAACTGAACAACAACAACAAATTAATGATGAAATCTATCCGATGCTGTTTGGACTTGATTTCGATCGGAGTCTCCATGTGAAGCAATCGTCTAGGAAAACACGAAAAGTTTTGCTAACTTCACCTGCAGCAGCCGTGCCTCCGGTAAGTCGCTCTTCTAAGCTTACTGCTTGGTCATCACACTAATCAACATTAACGTTTTCATCACGAACGACGACGACGACGACGACGACGATGATGGCGATGACATGGCACCGGAGTGAGTATGCTGCCATGGGATTAAGATGGATTATACGTCGCTAATTTTCCAATCAACCATCTTCGTTGGCAGCCAGATCCAGTATGGTTGGGCAGTGATGGTCGAAAGATTTGAAAAATTGTGGCCTAATTGATAATTTATGAGGAGGCTTATCGTCCGGTCGACTCTGGCAGGACCGGAACAATCGGCATAGACCCAGGCAACGAATACGGACTAGCGATTGGAAACTCGGAACACGGAACTGTACACCGTTCGAAAAATTCATGTTAATTTCTGCGAGATATAGCCCACATAAAATTAACGCACATAAAGCGCACATAAAGATTTGGCATACATTTACGCGATATTTCGTGTAAATTTAAGCGCAATATCGCATAAATTAACAATATTGCATGCAAGCTTGTAAATGATTTCGCTGTTTAAGCCAAGTATAGTTCAAAATTAAACGAAGCGAGATATTACGCGATAGTTAAAATTCAGAATTTTTTTTCTGTGTAAGTCTTTCAATTTATTGGAAGTAACCGCATTCTATCCGACTCCGCAAGTTCGACATTGTAGCGCTGCAGGAGGTTTGCCGGAAGGGATCATCAGTACATACGTATAAGAATGATTATACCATCTACAGGATTGGTAGCGAGTTACTTTTTTCAAGTCTCTTTTTTTAAGGCCAAGTCACAAAAGTCACTTTTTCTAGTAATCAGTCACTATTTTCAACTTTTTTTAACGTGAATTTCTTCCAAGATTGATCTTTTTTTGCATTGTGACGTTTATTCGTCTTTCTCTATCTACATGGTGTCTACTAAATTTTCTAAATTAAATTACCTGAGTTTCCAGGTTTTTCCAGAACTGCAACGGGTAAATTCCAGGTTTTTAATAAGAAAGCTATGTTTTAAATGCGTTAAAAATATGCTTTTTTGGTTGATCAAAAACAACAGCAATTTACGCAAACGTTTTTAAGACATGGCAATCAATTTTAAAGAAACAGCTTTCAATCAAATCTATTGACTGCTGAAGTTTAACACTTACATAAATTCTCACTTAATAAAGTTAAAAAAAAACTTACTTAATTTAAGTAAGTCCAACATCTAATATTATTAAATATCTTGAAGTTTCGTATTCCATGTACAAGTTCAAGATATTGAAAATTTTCAATGTGTTAGAATCAAGGAAAAAATAAATGGTTTATTTCAAGATCGTAATTAATTTTATGAAATTTAAGACATCTTAAATGCAGTTCCATTAACTTAACAACAATTGCAGGAACTTTGGAGAAGTTCTGAGCAATGAAAAGAAATGCTGAGAATTTCAGTGAAGCTCCCTAAACAAACTGCAGGAACGTAAGGGAAGTTGATACACTGAAAATATGGGGAACTTACTGAAAGCATTATGAATCTCAAAGTGGTTCATTTAGCATCCAAAAATTTCTGCGAGGTATAGCGCACATAAAATTAACGCTAGATTTGGCATAAATTTACGCGATATTTCGTGTAAATTTTAGCACAATACCTCGTAAATTAGCAATGTTGTATGCAAGCTTGTAAACGATTTCACTGTTTATTTAGCTCAAAATTAAACGAAGGGAGATTTTACGCGATACTTAAAATTCAGAATTTTTTCTGTGTAGAATTTCAGAAAACTTCACTGGAGTCAAGCAAACTTGAGAAATATAGAAAACATGAGGGGCATTGCGCAATTTTTTTTAGAAATTCTGCAAGTCACGAATGATCCAAGAGTGTTAAGTGACTATAATAAAAGAAAAAAAAGTAGAAGGATCTGTGCCTAGGGGCACGAACGGAAGCTTGACGTAGGACCGCTAGTGGACGGAATAAATGTGAAGAGCATTAAGTTCTTTCAATTGATCAGATCAGACATAACATTTGATAACGGCACAAAAGCATTTGTAAACAAACGTTCTAAGGCCCTTTACACGCGAACTAAAGTACGCCCACGCAAACCAATACCACTTTCGGAAAGGTGATAGTTGCCCCTATGCGATGATGTTGTTGGTTTGCGTGGGCGTACTTTGGTTCGTGTGTAAAGGGCCTTAGAAGTTTTGTTTACAAATGCTTTTGTGCCGTTATCAAATGTTATGCCTGAAATATCTATTATCTCAACTCTTTCCGTTTTTGGATATTAGGCGATCCAAATTTGTAGTAATCTTTTTCAAAAAGAAAGTTGATTACGAGAATCAATCAAAATCACTTGCACCCCTGCTTCCAAGTTTGTGTGGTCGTTGGGGGCTTGTGGTTCTGAATATGGACAAACAGGCACAGATAAATTCTATTCCAACTCTTTACTGATGTAAGCTTGATGGCCCTGAAAAGGGCCGTTTTATTGAAGAGGACATCCATGGCCACTTACGTTTGGCGTGTTTAGAGTAGGTGACAGCATCACGGACCTCATTTTCCACGAACACCTTCAGCAAACCTCGTAGATCAGACCGGAGATACGTCAGACACTCACCCCTATTCTGTATTTCGTTTCGAACGAAATTCCCATACAAAACATATTTTTTTGTATGAGAATTTCGTTCGAAACGAAATACAGAATAAAACTGCCACGGCGAGCCAGACGACGGATGGTGGTTATATCGAAGAATTTGCGATGACGATTGGCACCTCCTTTGCCACGACCAGCCACGACCTACTGCTGCTATTGCTGACCACGCCGTCCGAAGCGAAAATGAGCTGATACCAGTTTTAGTTTAAATGATCTTTATTTTAGTTTAACTTGGACGATTACCATATAAATTTTTACTAAGTGATTTAATTGCTTTCTTCATCTTTAGGTATGGGCAAAATTCAAAATTTGTTTTACAGAATTAGTCCTAGACTTAGTACACGGTCGACCACCTTGGTGGGATTGGTTTGTTTTGTTTTTAGAATTTGAAGAGAAACTACTTAATACTACTATTTACAGCTTAAAACTAACCTACTCTACTATATACACTTAACCTACTATGTACAAATTGCTTATTAAAGCATGTTCAGAAAGATTGCATTTTTGAATAAATTTAGTTGTCATATCATCAATTTTGGAATCTACTTTGGGAATTTCTGCCTCTTGATGGAGGTCTGTTATTCTTGTGTCGAATGGACGATCTAGGATCATCCTCAACACTCTATTCTGTGCAACCTGGATTTTGTTCCTGTGGGTCTGAGCGCACGATTCCCACACCGGGGTGGCATAGAAGATCGCGGGGGCTATGATCTGTTTGTAAACAGCCAGTTTGTTTTGCCTTGAGAGGCGGGATCTGCGGCAAATGAGCGGATACAAACACCTAACCAAGGCGGAGCACTTAACTAGGGTTTTCTCTATGTGCGAGCGGAACAGGAGCTTCTCATCGAACAACATCCCGAGATAAGTAACATCAGTGGACCACTCGACCCTTGTACCATCCATTATTACGGTACAGGAGGGAGACGGTTTAAGTTTTAATGATTGTCTGTGAAGGAACATGATCGCTTGGGTTTTCGAGGCGTTGATTTTGATTTTCCACGTGGTGGCATAATCAGTAAAGGTGTCAAGGCATCGTTGGAGCTTGTTCGTAATTTCACGAGGCATCCTACCCTTGACGGCTATCGCGGTGTCATCTGCAAACAGAAAGAACACGCAACCGTCTCCTAGAGGAGGGATGTCCGACGTGTAGATGCTGTAAAGCAGTGGTCCCAGCAGACTCCCTTGCGGAACACCTGCTGGGATCGGAAATTGTCCCGAAAGGGAACTATTCAACGACACCCTGAACGACCTTTGCTGGAGATAGTTACGGGTGATTTTCACAAGGTATGGTGGAAAGTTGGAGTTACAAAGCTTGTATATAAGTCCGTCGTGCCAGACATTGTCAAACGCCTTTTCGACGTCTAACAAGGCCATGGCTGTGGACTTGGATACAGCTTTGTTACTCCGGATGTTATTCATCACCCGCACTAAAGGGTGATACGGTCAAAATTTGGTCAAGGGAAAACGCGTGTAAATCGGTGAAATCGTTTATTTAAAAAATCAAATTAAATTTCTTTTTCAAGTTCAATTAGTATAAAATTCAGGAAAATATTCAGTTAGGCTTCCGCTTTTCCAAATCCGAATTGCCGGGCCTTACGCTTGACCCCTGCCATCAGATTTTGTACAGCCACCTTGTCCACCTTCTTCGCCGCAGAAAGCCAATTTGCCTTGAACTGCTGCTCGCCCTTAGCAGTTTTTTTTTGGTCTTCTTTAGGTTCCGCTTGACAATAGCCCAGTATTTCTCAATTGGGCGGAGCTCTGGCGTGTTGGGAGGGTTCTTGTCCTTGGGAACCACCTGCACGTTGTTGGCGGCGTACCACTCCATGGCCTTTTTACCGTAATGGCAAGATGCCAAATCCGGCCAAAACAGTACGGAACAACCGTGTTTCTTCAGGAAAGGCAGCAGACGTTTATTCAAACACTCTTTCACGTAAATTTCTTGGTTGACAGTCCCGGAAGCTATGAAAATACTGCTTTTCAAGCCACAGGTACAGATGGCTTGCCAAACCAGATATTTCTTTGCGAACTTTGACAGTTTCATGTGCTTGAAAACATCTGCTACCTTTCCCCTTCCTTTTGCCATATAAAACTCCTGTCCCGGAAGCTGCTTGTAGTCGGCTTTGACGTAGGTTTCGTCGTTCATTACCA